TAATTTTGGATAGTCAATTTAAGATGCATAGAAAGTCTTTTTAGTGTAACTTATCTTTCTTAATTATAGATGAAAATCCTTTTTATCCAATCGCTGGAACTCCTCTGCAATTTTTTTATCTTTGCTTTTCATCTGACAGCTTCAAAGATGATAATGTTTCAGTCTCTGCTGAATGTCAGTGTACTCTATAGATTGTTTCCTAAGTGATAAAGCATATATAGTTTAATTTCCTACCGATATACATCTCTCCTTGCTGTTAGTGCTCTGAATGGAAAGTTCCCAACAGACTGATTTGATTAAAATGAGACGGAGCTTACCAACATGTACAGAAGCACCGTGTATAGAAACAATATGATATCCCTAGATAGAGCAAGCCGGACCCCTCTCTCTGTCTTTCTTTCTGCAGCACACACGTACTTCTGACCTGCACAGGTTGATTTCCCCTGGCCTTAAATGTGATGTCTCAATCTGTTTGGTGCCATATTAACATCGGGGAGAACACTAACCCCCCATAACACTCACGGGCAGGCCCATGTATTCTGCAGGATGTATCGTACACGTTTCCACCAGGGGCTATGCTGCTTCCTTGACAGCTTTCATTGTACACTATAATCCCATGAATATGTGCCCATGTGTGAGCGTGAATGTGTGCAAATGCCATTTCAGCAGGGAACCAACCCCCACCGCAGGTGACATTTTTACTAGAGAAATGTCACCACAGCCATTTTCTTCCCATATGTTTGCGTGAGCATGTGTGCACGCAAGTGTGTGTGTGTTTGTTAGTGTGTCAGAATATGAATGACTGTATGTTTGATTAGGTCTTGGCAAGCTGCAATTAATTTCAAAGGAGAGGCTTGTTATACTCCAAATATTAGAATATTGCCTTGCTTTTGTACCATTTTCCTTCTTTTTTTATAACCCATTTTTATCCTAAACAAAAAAGCAGATAAGAGAAAAGAGGTTTATCTTTGCAAAAAACACAGAATTGGTTGTTTCATGTGTATGGAAACTAAGATGTAAGTCAAACACTTGTGGTTCAACTTCCATTCATTTTCTTGGTTATGAGAAATTGTTCTCCTCCTCTGTTGCTTTATCCTGAGCTAAGCTAACTCCTATCTCCTGGTGCAAACTTAGTAAGTATACGGTGGACACTGATCTAATAGATTATCAGAGTTGAATCAAAGCAGGTAGTCTGATTGTAGAGCTCCAGGAATAGATACAGGTTTCTAATAGTAATCACTGTTCTTCCAGTGGCATGTTTCTGATGGTAAAGGAGGTCCACAGAAGACTGCTCTGTCTCTATTCCTGTTCACCTTGTACACCTCAGACTTCAGTACAACTCCCCTCCAGGTCATACCACCTACAGAAACACTAACGATTTTGCAGTGGTTGGCTGTATTAGTGATGGGGAGGAATTATCTTCTTCTGAATGTGAATTTAGTCCAAAGAGACGGTGATCAATTTCATAAGGAAAAGGACGTTTAGGAAGGCTGACTGTGATTTTGATATGATAACAAAGATATGATTACTGATTCATCCAGCACCAATTTTCCCACTTCAACATAATAGGTAGTACTGCAGCTTAATGCTGGTTTCTACTTGTGTTAAATGGAAATAACCAGAATTCTATACAAATATATATGTGAAGCCAGCATGGCAGTGCTGAATACTGCATTTCATCTCGTGACAACTTAAGGCTGGCTCAAGTGAGTGAATACACATTTAAAATTGTTATTAAATAAATCAAATCAAATAACTGTGGCAGTTTGTGCTTCGGTTTTGATTCGAAATGCTAGCATTTCATTAGTCTGTTGCTTCAGCACTTATTAGAAGGTATCCAAACTTGTGTAATAAACGTGTACAGCCTTCCCATCTAAATATGGCTCCAAAAAAAACAACCCTCAAAAATGTGGAGTGAACAAACCAGTACATCACATGATGATGGCATGTCTATCTGCTGCTGACTGACTCTGTTTGCATCTTCCTGCACTTGTAGTTTGAGTGTAACTTAAGTCCCAAGAGAAAACAATAAACCATGAGATATTTTTAATAGTTTAGAGATATTGCATTAATACCATTATGTTTGTTTGTTCATTTATTTATTTAGCAGCAGTAATCTTGTTGTAAAAAATTGTTCTTGTGAAAGCCCCACTAAACACCTTAAGGAAAGGTATTTCACAACAGAAGAAACCCTACATACTCTACGTGGTAGTTGTAATAGAACACAGTTTGTACACATCTATCATGAGGTAAAAGAATATCAAAGTGGGGTGAAATGGCAGAAAATATATTGAGCATATAAAAAAATGTCACAGAGGCTGTGAAGAAGGTTTTGGTGTACGTGCTTTCTGATGTACACTTTGTATGAGGCTTCTGTTCAGGGGTCGATCTTATAATCATTTGTTATGTTTGTGACTATGGCTGTAAATATGTGAGCATGAATCCATCTCCTTGACAACTGAGAAGACATCTGCCATCTCCATATGGAGAGAAACAGAGAGAAAGATTCAAAGGAGGGACAAAGTAGAAAACAGAGAACACAAAATAATCAGTTAGAACAATTAAAAATTATATATTTAGATATTTTTATATTTTTATCTTTAAAGTTTAGAGAAAGCTTCTTTTTAATTATTGGTGTTTCCCATCTTTTATTTGATACCAAAGACGAGAATTGAGAATACCACAGTACTGAGAGTTTTTGAATTTTAGACTGTAGGAAAGGGTTCGAGTTCTCAGTATTTTATGGTTTTTCTGACTAAATGGGTGTAAGTAGTATCCTGCATTAATTTCGCAAAGTAAAATTTTATTGCCTCATTATAAATGTAATGGAACTGACTTGAGACACTGGGCTTGGGTCTCATCTGGTATTTGATATGAATGTCACACAGAGTTAAAATGACACGATGGCAGAGTGCCCAAATGGTTTCAGCCCATGGCACATTATTGAAGGTCCCTGGTTTGGTAAAGGCATTTATAACCCTCCTTTCTGTCTTCCTACACCTGCATCATCCTACAAATTATGTCACACATGCACAAATGTATAACAGATTAATAAACAGATAAGACCTGGTAGAAAAAATATGCACATCCAGTTGTGCTGCACACCGATTTTATGCTTGTGTCTGGTGAGCGCACACTCAAAACCACAATGGGACAAGTGGGGTCTCTTTCTTTCTCTGCGTGTGGTAATGGACACTGCTGCTTGATGTCTGATTTTGTCCTCCATAGTCATTCATTTTCTAGCAGGAAGGACACACACATACACGCCTCTCACTCAAACTGTGGAGGAGGGGGCACTAAAAACTCATTACATGGACGATCAATATTGCACACACTTGAGAACCGAGTGTGTGTTTGCCCCCTCTACTGCATCCACAATGCACACATGTGCGCACACACATACACATACCATGCTGGCAACAATGACAGATGACTTTTGTCAGCCTGATATGTGTTACCGTGGTAACCGGTAGGTTACATTTTGGTATGTTACAGCAGAGGAGACACACACACGCATGCCAGTAGACACATTTAGATAAATGAGGCAAGGTCACGATAAAATACAGCAGCTTAATATTTGATCAAATTTGAATACTTTGAGGACTGAACTAGCTCTTAAAACCAGATCGTTTTACAGTTGCCAACACAAATGTCAATGCAACTAAACATGAAAAAAAAAGAAAATTAATACTTACAAATACCTCCCCTGGGATCTCTGACCCTTTTTTTGTTTTGGGCAATCAGATCACAAGTGGGAAGCACTAAATACAAGTGTAAACAATCTGCAAAATGGACTGTGATGTGATCGCTTAAACCACTTGCCAAGGTGGTCAGGGACACATTCACTGCATATCTTTTGTAATGTAATCACTAATAGGTCCCGATGCATCCCCAATAAAGATATAACAAGTAAATGCTGTTAGTGTAGGTGGGCTGGTATTATTATTATTACAGTTCATTAAGCATTTTGTTGTCTCTGCTCTTCCTCACTTGACTGTTGAGAGATGGATGTTATGACTGTGCACAATACCCTGGGACCTTCTAGTGAATGTGACCTAAAAGAAACTGCATTTAGGCATGAAGACAATCTCCTGAAGCTCAAGCCGAGCATCAGATTGGGGAAGAAAAGGTCATTTAAGTGGCTTTGATCATAGTTGTTGGTGCCAGATGGGCTGCTCTCAGTGCTTCATGATCTGCTAACCTACTGGAAACGGCCCCCCACACAATCATCTGTAGAGTTTACAGACAGAGTGGTACAAGACAGTAGTGACAGAAACCACGGTATGCAGAAAAGCATCATTTAACTATAACACACTGAACCTTCAAGCACACGGGCTACAGAAGACCACAACCGCTGCCATTCCTGTCAGATAAGAACAGAAAACTTAGGCTACAATGTGCACAGGCCCAGCAAATTCAGACAATAGGACAGAAAAATTTTGCTTGGTCCGATGAGTCTCAATTTCAGCTGCAACGTTTAGATGGTCTGGTCAGAATTTGGTGTAAAATGGTAAATGGCCTGTATTTGTATAGTGCTTTACTAGTCCCTAAGGACCCCAAAGCGCTTTACACATTCAATCATCCACACATTCACACACAGGTGATGGCAAGCTACATGTAGCCACAGCCACCCTGGGGCGCACTGACAGAGGCGAGGCTGCCGAACACTGGCGCCACCGGGCCCTCTGACCACCACCAGTAGGCAACGGGTGAAGTGTCTTGGCCAAGGACACAACGACCGAGACTGTTCAAGCCGGGGCTCGAACCGGCAACCTTCTGATTACAAGGCGAACTCCCAACTCTTAAGCCACAATCGTAAACTACATGCTTGATTCAAATCTTCTATCAAGAGCTCAGGTAGTGGTTTGGGGAATATTTCCTTGGCACACTCTATACCCTGTAGTACCAACTAAGCGTCATTCAAACACTACATGCTATCTGAGTGTTGTTGCTGACCATTTCCTTCCCTTTATGACCACACTACATTCTTTTACTGTTACCTTTCCAAGTCCAGGAGTATCTTTGATTTTGTTTGCTGCACGGAGGAGACAAGGTGGAGCTGGGGGAGGAGCCATCAACAGGGTGGAGCTAAAATTGGTGGGAAATAGGGGTGGGTCACATGATGGCGATGATGTCACTGTAGCTGTGAGCGCAGCCGTCTTCTGCTTCTTCTTTTTGGACGCTAAGCTCAACTTCTGAGCAGCTCTGAGAGAGAGAAAAGCAGAGAACAAAAGGAAGAAAGAGAAGGAGAGACAGCAGTCAACCTGTCACATTATTATGCTTAAACTACACTGTGACAAAGTCAAAACAAACAGCAAATATTTTCAGGAGATGGATGGTGAAAGGAGAGGAGGGATGGGGGCACGCATGCATGCACATACAGTGTGACTCTGCACACATCCTGATCCAAAGTAAAACAAATATGCAAAACCCAACCGATATCCTTCAGCTCATGCACACACAAAGTCATGAACACATGTACACACAAGCATATTCACATTGCTGTTTACATATGTGGCAGCATCTGGATGGGGAGTGGTTCATTTCCCTTCTTGCTACACAATTCCCTGCGGCATTCAGCTCAAAAGAAGCCACCAGAAATTATATTTATATATACTCTATCTCCTCTCCTCTTTCCTCTCGTTTGTAGCTTTAACTTCTAAACTTCTAAATCTCACTTTCACTCTCTTTCTCCTCTACTTCTGCTCTTGCTCTCATTTTTCTACCTGTCTGCTTCTTTCAGAACAATTGTTTCTCGTCTGAAACTTTTCTAACACTCCTCTCATGCTTCATTTCCTAGCAGAAATACCTCATATACATATATAACAGTCTGGATTTCTATATGAAGCACAGCAACTTTCACTCGTTTTTTCGTCTTTGTCAAGACAGTCGCGTCAAATCAAGTCAAATTGTTTATCTGAATAAATTTAGCTTGAAAATATACGTTTGCTGATTTATAATGAATGTAATTACGTCATTATTAACAACTGATGAGCACCAATCTCTGTCAAATAACTGTTTCTACTTGGTCAGAGTCCTGTGCAAAAGACCTGTTCTACATATTCATATTTCCTAATGCAGATGTATATTTAGTATATTTTTCTAAAGCCAAAGAGCTTCAATATAACCTGGGCTGAGCTTAAAGGCAGAAGAGAGGTTATGTGAGAGTCATTTTGAGAGAAAACTGAGCAAGTCTCCAAGCAAAAATGTGCTCGAGTGATTTACGTGATCTACATTTGGATTAGTAAAGAAAGAAATTCTTGAGTTTGAGCTTTTGCTTCTTTAACTTCAATTCAACAAGCCACAACTGAAACTGGCAGATTACCTAACAGCATTAATAATGTGATACAAATTAAAGACCTCCAAAGGGCCACAGGCAGAGATTTCTGCTCAGTTTTTATTCAATCTATCTTCATATATATTTCCAAGATAATAAAAAGAGAGAAAAAGAGAATGAGAGACCTTGCACTCTGGCACGCTCTCTGTCAAAGAGCCATATTCTCACACCATTGGCTTTCAATTAACTGCGGCAGGTTACAGAAATGAGAGCAAGGGGGAGAGTCAGCGAAAAGAGAGAGACTGAGAGAGAGAGGAGAGATTCGGTGACCCGTAGAACGATGAAGCATTTCACCATTTGACTAACTCCCTGGAGATTTGGGTGGGAAGCTGTGTGTCTGTGTTCCTGACTTTGAATATGTGTGTGAATGCATACTGTTTGCAATAAACCTCCATGAGAAGACTCCTAATTGGTTTTACACTGTGTGAAAGTTAAGCTTACATACTACAGCAAATGCAATCATAAATAATTACAGGTTTTCTCATGATATCAATATAACAGTGTACTGCCCGTGTAAAATGCAGAAGATTACATAAAATGATTTACTGTGTGATAAAAGTAATAATGGACTCAAAACTGTGGATCCATTCTGTTTATATGGTGGCATGAAATGATTTTTTGGGGGAAAAAACTATCTTGTAATTTTCACAGGAAAACAACTGTAAGAAGAAGCTGGATGAGTTGCAGGATGCGACACGACAATGATGGATTTATGCATGGTTACTCTGCTGCCTACTTGTAACACACAGTGCTCGCAGATGAACTTTTTTTTTCTTCTTCTGTGCCTAAATGCTCATTTGTGAAAGGGCTGCTTCTTGGACAAAGGATTTATTCTTAATTCTTTTCTTTTTTTTGACTGTTTTTATAATGCATCCCTTAAATCCTCCAGCCACATCAGTTTCAAAATGCACACATGCATCTATTGACATGTTTGTATCAGTGCTATTACCCTCTTATTATATCCTCTCACCCTGACTAGTTTAATCTGTGGCACAACTGAAGCATGGTGGACACGCCACCTAACTGGTGCCATTTAATGACAAGTGGCCTGGGATTTGTCTAAGTGGATCTATTTCGATCTAACCCTAAAGTGAAGGGCACTTGTTTTCCATCCATCAGCTGTTACATCCCTTCATCCTCTTTTCCATTACCTTAATTCCTCCACTCTTCTCCGGCTTTCGCTTCCCTCCTATTACTTCAATCCCGCTCGCTCTAAACCATTCCCTATACCTTACCCTTTATTTTATTCCTCTCTCATTATTTTTTATCCTTCATGCTTTGCTGTCTTATTCTCTGCCCTCTATATAGCCACCCATCCATCCCACCATCCATTCAGCCTTCCTCACATGTATTGATTCTCTCAGCCACCCATGCCTCTCATCCTCTAGGTCCCTTGTTAAAAAGCAGCACAGGTCACAAACAGCCCGGCTAATAACATGCTGCTGCTTTTGCTTTTTTCACCCCCTTCCTTTCACACAACTACAAAAACTTTCAATTGAAATGCACACACAGCTGATTTATGGCTGCTGTCCCTCTGACTGTGTTGTTGGTTGAGTGGCTAATTACATTCTTTTTAGCAGACTGTCAGTAGAAGACGATACAGGGAGAGACAGAGAGCGATGGCGAAAGTGTGAGAGCACTGGCTAAGAGGGACAGGAGACTGGCTTTACCGACGTTATCTATTGACACGTACATGCAATCCACGACTGACACACTCCTTGCTCTCAATTAAGACACTGCCATATAATCTGCAGTGTATTATCACTTCTTTTTGCACATCTTTTTCTTCTTCTTCTTTTGACTGCTCCCTTTTTGGGTTGCCACAGATGACTCTCCTCTTCTATATCAGCCTATCATTGTCCTCTGTCACACCAACCCTCTGTGGCTTTTCCACTTGTCCTTCTGCCTGGCAGCTCCATGTTCAACATTGTTTCCCCATTATAGCCACCATCCCTCCTCTGCACATGTCCAAACCATCTCAGCCTTGCCTCTCACCACCTGAGCTCTCCCTCTGATATACTCACTCCTAATCGTGTCCATACTGGTCACTGCCAATAAAAACCTTAACATTTTCAGCTCAGTCACCTCCAGCTTGGCCTCCTGTTTTTTTTTATTAGTGCCTCCATCTCCAAATTATACATCAAAGCAGGTCTCAGTACCATCTTGTAAACCTTCCCTTTCACCCTTGCTGCTATCGTTCTGTCACAAATCACCCTAACACTCGCTCCACCCACTCTACCCTGCATGCACTGTCTGTTGCTTTAGATGACTAACCCAGGCGACTGTATTAGCACGCAAGGCTGCATTATAAAATATCAATACACATTGTGTTCAAGTCAAGACATGAAGACAAGTCAAGTCAGTTCATTTGTATAGGTCAATGGAAAGATGATGAATGAATTTATGATGTCTGCTGCTCTTCTGTATTGTGTCTCCTAACCAAGCAACCAAAGCCTCCTTTGTTAAAATGCCCACCTTCAGCTATGAAATGAAGAATATGTAGCTTCTGCTACACAGAAAAAAATGCATTTTACATAAAGGTCTATAGAGGTTTCCAAGGTCATACACTGCTTATTAGTTCATTAGCTCATCAAGTCTTTGTTTGCCTGAAGGACATATAAAGAGTTTTAGCACTACGCCTCGTTTCAGTGTGTTAATAATATGGTGTGTTAAATCACTGTTTGCAAGCTGTCGGGCCTTAAACGGAAGGAATGAAAGGCAAGAATGTGGGCTAGTGACGACACTTTAGAGCAAATAGGCCTCTTCCTCCATATGTCAAAATAAAAGTTTAAAACACACACGAGCAAAACAGAAACCATAAAATGTGGTCCCAAAGTGAGACAGCTGATATGTTAATTTGTTTACCACTATACTCATATTTTAATCATCAATCTACCATTGTGATGTCTAATTGGTCCCCAGTTATCATTTGATGGAGCACTTCTTTTTAAAGAATACAGAAGAGAGATAGTGAGATGTAAATGAGACAGCCCCCCCCAGTCTCACTGCTATCCTCCATCCAAAATAACAACGCCCTACCAATTCACCAATTCACCTGGGACCTATTCATTTAATCGGCTACCTCCAGCACACACACACACAGCCAGCCAAAATCCCCAAAGATCCAATCCCCGGAGCATGCAGTAAAAAATTCCTTCACTGATAGAAACTCCCTTCCCCCAGTGACTAAGAGCATGCACACACCACCGCATGTCTCTATCCTCTGGCCCAGCAACCCTCTGGGGACAATGCAGCACAGGGAAGATGTAGTGCTACTGCGTGAGTGTGACATATTCACAGACAGATTGCTACTAATGAAAGATATTACTCACATGCACATTAGCAAAGGTAAAGGAAAGGTCAATGTAGAAACTGAGAAACTGTTAATAAAACGGGGAGAACAGGAGAGTTGTGAAAGAACAATAGGAGAGGAAGGAAGGGGATAGAGGAAGAAGAGAGCAATTAAGGGAGAAAAAAAAGAGAGGCGACAGAAAGAGGAGCCTGAAGGAAGATAGGGGATCAGGTGAGTGGAGATATAGCGGACACAGGGATTTTGCCATGTGTAGACAGTGAGCAAGGGGGAAATTGTGTGCGTGTATACCTGTGTGTGTGTCTGTGTGTCTGATAAGAGTGTCTGTATGCAGTTCACATCTGAGAGTAAAGACCAAGATAGGCAAAGGATTTACCACCACTGCATGGCTGCATCCACTGAAGGTAAACACACACAGAGTCAAAAATCAGAGGTGACACCAGGTGAGCACATTGGTATTTCTCTGCCAATTAAACCGAATTCCTTCACAGACACAAAATACACAAATAAAACAGACCCACTGACACTGACATCTACAAACACATCCCGGCAAACCATTAAACAAACTGGATTCTTTCACTTACAAGGTTCACGCTCATAAATTGACCAAAGACAGCTGGCTTTATGTTTGTAATGTCAACCAGATGTGCGTGGGTTTGTGTAATATGGCCTTGATACTCGGCAGTTCATGGGGTCAAAGAAGGGAGCGCGTGCATGTGTTTGGGTGTCTTCCAGTACAATTTACGACCGGTTGCTAGTGCTTTGAAAGATAGACAGCATTATGTCTGCACCACTGATGCCCGACACTTATATATCAAACACAGGCACACACATTTCATTATCTGCAGATTTAGAGGGGAGAAGACGCGTGTGAGGGAGTGAGAAGGAAAACCATCAGTATCATTTAAAATGTGATTTAAGGCAGCTCATTAGATACGACATGTCAGCAATGCTTCAGACACTGTGACACACTCATGGTGCGGTGTCACCCATGAATAATTTACTCGTTCATTTTGAGCTTGCCATGTTTTTTCATCAATAATTTACCCATATTACCCGTGTCTTATTTATGTTGTGCTGCTCTGCATTTCTCCAGATTTGATTACACAGTTCATCGAAGACTGATGACTGGATCGTTGATAGACACACAACCCAACCAAGAGATAAGTGAGTACTCTTTTGTGCATTATACTGTATAATAGTATTCCATTTTTTCATCACCTTTATCTTACAATGAGATTATTTGTCAGCCCATTATTTTAATTCCTCCTGCTTCATTGAACCAATTGAGAATAAAGAGGCGACGTCCTGAATGAGGGGATTTCTGGACCTTTAAACTCAGAACAAACTAAACTAAATGATGAGACTTGCATAAATGAACTAATGAGTTTGCCATTTCTGTGCAACAATAAATCTACTACTCTACAAAATGCCACTGAATCCCAAGAAAGTGATGGTTGTGCGATTAAATGAGATCGGTAGTGCTGTGAGTAGGGCTGCCACAAACAATTATTTTGATAGTCGACTAGTCACCGATTATTTTTGCGATTAGTCGACTAATGAGATCATGCATCCATTGGAAGTAAAACGTACAGCTTATTGCACCAGCAGCATCTGCTCTTATATAAATATCATTAGCTTACAGCTTGAAGTGTTTACGGTATGTGCTAACTAAAAATAAAGACAAGATGATAGTTTATTAAAGTTTAATGAAATCTGCAGATTGTTTCGTTGGAGTTTAATAAACTCAGTCTCGTTTGCTCCTTGCTATCTAAAATATAACAGGACACTGGAGTATATTCTCGTGCATCTCACACTTCTGATAATCAGTTGTCTGCTTGACGTTTATTCAGCTGTGTAAAAACTATAACTTTATTTCTCAGCCAAACCGATTTACTCAGGAATAAATAAAATACAAAAAAAAGCCAAACAATAACATTTCTACGTTATCTAAGTGACTCATATATCGTGTTTAACCTGAGTAGCGAAAGACGGCGGTGGCTTTGAAAACGATTTGCAGGGAGTCCGGTGTTCTCACGGGCTCTAGTGAGCCTTGAACCCCGGCTAACTATCAAGCTAGTGGGTAACAGATGTCTCCGAAAACGTCGGAGCGCTTTTGAAAATATGTGGTGTCTTGATAAACTGAGCAGATATTTGAGGTTTACACAGCTACATTATCGCATGAAAATATGTTAAACTTTATTTTGTGACCCAAAAAGAATAATAAGAGTAATATTAAAACTAACTAGCCATTGTTGGCAACTGCGCTGGGCCGCACTATGAATTGTGGGACACAGCTTCTTCTTCTTCGGGGTTTAACGGCATCTGGCATCCTTGTACATGCAGTGCTGCCATCTTCTGTTTCAGTCCGTTATTACACTCTTAAATCCTACTACTTATTCATGCATCTTTTGCGATCTTACAAAGCTTCAAACGACGCGTCGACTATTAAATCAGTCGTCGACGATTTTGATAGTCGACGTAATCGTGACTAGTCGACTAATCGTGGCAGCCCTAGCTGTGAGTATGCAGATTCCCTGGCTTTCCGTGCTTTAGTCAAATTTAAATACAAAAGAACAAACGCAGCAGATGTTCAGATATATTTACAGCTCTGGAGAGAAATTCAATACTGCACCTGATCACGTTTAATTACAATGCCTGCTTGTTGGAATGATTCGTGGAGTGTATGGATCAGATGAGAGAGGTGATCTTCTTGGCTTTCACTCAGTGCGTAAAGTGAATCTTACCTGGCAAAGAAAGAGGCAGCGGCGGAGGTGGCAGTCGCTGCTGTGGTGGTTGCAGCTGGAGTGTGAGAGGGAGAGTTTGTATGTGATGATGAATTTGTGTGTGAGGGCGAGTGTGTGTTGTAGCGGTTCAGGGCAGCTTCGGTAATTCCCTCTCTGGAGACTTCTGAGATCATCTGGGAGATCTGATGAGAGAGAAAGACTTTTTTACTATAATTGACAAAACCAACAAGAGTTAAATAATAAATAAAAATACTAATTAATTAACAATATCCACAGGGCCTGGAGACTTAGACACTGTTGATGGGAACTTCACATTTCATTACATGATAAATTATGCAGTAGGAATGAGACAATTTCCAATTTTTGGGAGGCACTGCTCCGAGGCTGGTATTAACGTGTTGCTGTCACACACAGAAATTATGACTTTAGTGGAGACTGGACAAAATTTCAACATTAGTGTTAACAGTGAGCGCTAACAATAATTTTCACAGCAGTGGCTGAAATGTGAAAATGTAAAAACCCATCAAAGACACAGTGAAAGAGAACAAGAACAGACGACTGAAGGAAAATCAGAAACAAAGACTGGCAGCAGAGTCAGTATTTGCTGCTCGCCTCTCCCACCCAGTCAGACGTGATAAGACTTTGTCTCATGAATACTTTGATTGTGCTAACTTTGTGCATGTACTTCATGACAAACAAACTGCACGCACACACACACACACACACACACACACACACACACACACACACACACACACACACACACACACATGACTGCTATTTATCTCTACCCTTGTCTTTTCCAGATGGTCAGATATGAGAACACAGTCTGGTTTTCCCCACCCATTTTGTTTCCTGTTGAAGGATAACTTATTGCATGCCCCTATGTGTGTGTGTGTGTGTGTGTGTGTGTGTGTGTGTGTGTGTGTGTGTGTGTGTGTGTGTGTGTGTGTACAGAAAACCTCTCTAGTGATCAAAGTGAACCAGCAGCAGAATGTTGTCTGCATCCTAAACAGACATAAACAAAGAAACAAAGACACTCTCTCCTTGGTTTCTTTCTTTCAACCTCATGTATACTTTTGTCAGATCGACCCTTCCTTCTTCTCCTCGCTATTCCCTGTTTTTATTAATAATCTTAACATATCTAGCTGCATTCTCTCTGCAGGGTTGTTGTGCCATCATAAGCTATATCCATATTTGTGATTTATTATTAGATCAACGCTCGTACCATTTGCCTTTTATTAGACAGAAGAAAGACAGCGTGGATAAAAAGGGAAAGCCCTTTGTACTCATAATGCTCTAAATAAATTACATTTGCTTTCTTGACTGAGTTACTGTTTTTATCAAGTGCACAAGACAAACTTGATGTAATGTGTAAGATACAGAATCTGAAATGAAAATACACTTATTGAGGTGGAATGGTTGCTAAAATAGTTACTTTAGCACTCCTCTTGGAGTGGCAGTAAGGCTTTTTACTTCTGATAACTACAAAAAATACATTTACGTAGCTAACCTGCCATATCTAATCAGTTAGATATATTAGATATCTAATGTTTTGTTTCAGGGTTCACATGGTATCTGTGGAAACTTTTCAAGCTACCTTACAGCAGTACAGTTCTGCACTGAGTGTTGTCATGTCCATCACAAAAAATTGATGTAGTTGCTTGAGACAAAAAATAAGTCTCTCTTTATTTCTCTCTTTCTCTCTCTCTCTCTCACTCTCTCTCTCTTTCTCTCTCTCTCTCTCTTTCTCTCTCTCACACACACACACACACACACACACACACACACACACACACACACACACACACACATGTTAAGAAGAACTGATATAGCACAATTAACTGATTTGAATGTGAGTTTGTTACAGCTGCATGTACTCTATGCCGTATGTGTTTATGGGTTCGTGCATGCATGCGTGTGTTAAAGCAAATCATTCATGACACAGATATGGATTATTGATTATAGTTCTTTATGTGCTGCCTACATCAAGACAGCAAAGCACCTAAATCATGACCACACACTCCAATAAAGGAATTATAGCCTTTGTGTGTGTTAATGGAAGTCCCTTTGAATATGTCTATATGTGCTCTTGCCATGCGTGTCTCTGCATATGTGTGTACCTGTGCGCTTAAATCAGCTCCAACGTGTTTATATTTATTGCTGAGGGCTGCTGGGGTCCAAGCTCACCACCTGCTGCCTTGATAAATTACCTATTGTAAATGAGATGCCTCTATAGTTTATATACCACACACCTTTGTACATTTACAGCTGCTTCAAAAGCTCTGACCTGGCTTGGTGCTCCTGCATTATTAAACGAGCTGCGAACATATGAAATGAAGGTCCAGCGAGCTACAGGACTACCTGCGCTTTTGTACTGGCTACTCATAAATTCTGATGAATAAAATAAGGAAAACTACTAACACAATGTAAAAAAAAAACCACTGTCCCACACAATGTTATTATGCAAACTAGGTGGTTTAATAATGTATAGCTTTGAGTGCTGGTGCTGCAGTTCAGACCACCAAGGCTGGACAGACATAGAGACACCAGTTTATAGCCTACAGTCACTGCATATGATTTAAGAGTCCACAGCTATGATACTGGCTCAGGGAGAGTCTACTGAGAGTGTGCAATATGTTTAGTGGTGCTATGATCTAAAAGCCTAAATCATGGAAACATGTTGACAATGGCAGTGCTAATGTGTAGCAGGTTAATGTTAATGTTAGTGTGGGTAAACACAAGTATAGCTGAGACTGATAAAAATGTCCCTTTTGAACTTACCCAATCTCACCTCTCACCAAATGTGGTGTGTCTTTGGTCGGGTTAGGCATTGCTCTTCTTTTACTAAATTAGTGCTCAGGTGACCTGTAAGTTTTGGCCAGACATGCTGGCATTAACAGGAAGAAAGTTCTTTACGGTGACCATTTAACTTTTAAATATTGTCATGTTGCAATACCACTTACACTTTACTGCCATTCACACTAATCACAGCAGAGCCCCTGACTATCACCAAATGTGGTATAGCTGAGCTGTTTGCACTGATGTTCTTTGTAATCTACCCTTTTCATTAACATGTAATTTCCAAAAAGCAGCAAATTCCAGAGCTAAAGTAACAGTGAAAGTGCCTTTCCTCAAATTGCCACCTAAGGCTGGCTATAAAAGTGAGTCAATCCTTGGACATTCCTGTTAAAATGCCCAACTTTACAATGGAAATTATATGTTTATAGCCTGGTATTAAAAAAGGTTATTGTCTGTGTAGCTAATTTCCTCCCTTTGTAGCAGCTGCATGTATTTTAAGGTCTAAGCATCACATAATCTACTAGTTTGCTCTCTCCACGTCTGAGGATTTTTGTGTTGTCCATCTGAACCTCTCCTCTTAATTGGCTCACACTCTTGGGTTTGCTTGGTTCAGCTCACTGTCTGGTCTCAGCAACTGTTAACAACAGCATTATACTTCTGTCCTCAGCCTCCACACCTTTTTTGTAGCTGACTGTGTGTTCCCTTGTGTTACATCTGAGACTTTGCCAAGTGCTGTTATTGGTTTGTAATGGGATTTTTTTTGTGTGTGTGTGTGTGTGTGTGTGTGTGTGTGTGACTGCATCTGTGCAAATAGACTAATTCAGTTTTATTGTACCACTGAAGCAGAAGCAGTGAACTACCTTTTCTTTTACACAATTTTCTCATCTGTTTCTCAGAAGACGGATCTGTTTCTTTAGTTATTTTGCACTTGATGCAATCGCAAGTAAATTTCTTTCAGTTATTGTAACCTTTCTTTTTACATGCGCATGGCTGAATAAATATTACACTTGAAATTCGTGTTGACACTCTGAACTGGCAGCTGGGGCAGGACCCTCCTTTATATCTTTCCGTTGTGCTTCCTCATGTCTAGACAGAGCTGTAACAGAGTCTGAGCTTTGACTGACAGGTGCACAGATGTAGGCAGCTGTAGCTGATATCTGTCTGCTAAGCTTCACCTCTTGAACTCATCCTCTTGCGTTGTTAGTGTCATTTATTTGAATTACCTCCTAATTATTAATCAAACATTTACTATTAATTAACTACTAATTAAACTACCGTCAGGGCTAAAATCATCATGAGATTTCAACAGTTTTGCTGTGTTTCTCTGTAGCAGTGGTGTGGTAATGGGTGCCTTATCTCTGTCATTAAGCCAGTCACTATTTGAGAGCTGTCATATTAATCCTACATGAGTGCTGCGCATACAGAAAATTGATGGTCACCTGGCTAAAGCATTTACATAGCATTTTGGATAAAGTACTCATTAAAGTAAATTATGTCCCATTCAGATTTCCCCACAGGACACAAAGGCTGAGCTGCTGTCTGTATACTTTACAATAAATTAGGTTATCCTACATTGAATGAAACTTTAATGATTCCTGTGGGGATATTAGGTCACAGCAGCAGATAAAAGGATATAGATAACAGCAGGACAAATTGAGATGACTGAGGATAATGCAACAGCCAGAGGTGAAAATAATGCAGCTAATCAATGAAAAACACAGCATCTGACTGTGTTTTTACAAAATAGCCTGATCCTATGACTGTATCAGTCAATGCGGGACTTTGACAAATGTGATATTAGATTTTCCAGGTTATTAAATTTAAAAAAAAATACAATAGCACACTATACTTCTGTAACTTTTACACTTTTCCTCTATATTATTTCAGTAATCCACATCTCTCACTCCCCTCTCGGAAAACATAACAGCTGACCAATTCATCTTCATTACATCACAAACACCATTTCCCCAGCATTTACCTTACTCATCAGTCTCTCTTATTTTATTCTTTCTCATATTACAGGCGCCCAAAATACAATCTGCACCTTCAGTTTTGTATAAGGGGAATAGAAATTGTGTGTTGTGTGTCCACACGCGTGTGTGGTCCTGTCTGATCTTATCGGTGCAATAAACACAATCTGTAAAACCATCTAAGCACTTACTTGAGTGGTTTGGCGGAAGAGAGAAAGAGGCCGCTTGTTCAAAATTAAAGTGGGGGAGGAAATGTGAAAAAATAAAGAAGTGAGCACACGGAGAAGGATGTTTATTTATTTCTCACAGAGGTGGTAGAGTTACAGAAGCAGGAGTTTATGTGTCAAACTATGAAGGAAAAGAAAGTAAGCTTGGAGGAAACAGAAACCCAGTCATGAAACGTAGGCAAT